GAAAAAGCTCACTTTATTGGTTCTATATAAAATTTAATTTGACACAAACTAACGATAATGAGAACAATCCATTCTAAGCGCAAAGTTTGAAGTTTCGAAAGTTGGTGGGTTTCGTTTTTGCTCTCTTAGGTTTGCTTCCGTGCAGTCGAAGATAATATCTTAATGTCTTCTTTACCTCTGAATACTGTGCCATATAGCAATAAGATGTAATTTTAGTCTTTCAAAATTTTTAGTTCTTCGTTGGCCGTCTCCAAATATTTTGGAGTGCTAAATGTAAGAGATGTAGTTCAAAACGAATAAACAAAATTAAAGAATCAGAATGTGGAATTAGAACATGTATTGTGTTCTGGATTATGTCGATTTTTGACCGCCAGGTTTTACTTAATATTGACTGTATACTATATTTTGGCTGTGTAACAAACTTGTTGGTATAATTTCATATATTGCACTGTTGAACAGAATTTAGTCCACTTTATTTATAGAGTAGTGGCTTAAAAGTTAAGGCATCCCCACTCCAACTACTGAATCCTGCTCCATAATTTTTGGCTAGCCACTTGTATGAACCTCACCTTCGATGTTATGTGCTTGAAGAATGTCCCACGAAGTTTCTCCCTGAAAAGTATTGCTATTGAGGGTATGTATTTTTGATAGTCACGGCACAGTTGCTTTGAATGATAGTTTTCCACAAACTTCAACGTGACTAGATGTCCAAGTAATGTTGCGGGTACACGCAGCACGTGTTGTTTCATGGACTGGCCGCTAAAAGTCCTTAAGACTGAGTAAAATGTTTCGAAATCGTTCGCAATGGCTCAGGAGCATTCACTCGTTGTCTTACCGTTGATTACAAGTTTATAGACTTAATCTACTCACTTTCCTAGTTTACATTTTCTCGAGTCCTATGTTCAGTTCTTGATTTTTGGCACTATTATTATTACTACCTTAACTACTCTGGTATTCTCCTTGATAATTTCATCTTGCTGTGCTAATAGGGTGTAAGAAACTTAGTCGACGTATATGCGTACCAGGTTCTACGTTGCGTTTGACGGACTGGTTAAACTTTTTCTGACTCTGAATTCCAATGTGTCGTCAAACCATTTATTGGAATTTTTTAAAACCTAAAAGTTTCTGAGGACTGTTAACTGCTGTCCCATCTAGTGTGCATACTTTCACTAAGTCAAAGTGTCTTAGTCTCCCAAATAAATTTTTAGTTTTCTGCTTATAAAATCTACTTTCTAGTAATAAAAAAGTTCATCTGTTAAGTCTCCATACGTGTACTTAGTCTTAAGGCACGTTTATTTGTAGGCGAAACTACTCGGTTATTCAAGCCAAAGTTGAATACCCATTACCTTTTGTCATCTGTGAAGATGTACCACCTGATTGTGAGGTTTTAAGAATCCCATAGAAATTCAAAGTTTGCAAGCTATGTTCCCATGCAACTATACTTGCCATTTATGACATGATGCACGTCACCAGTACTTAGTATTTTAGGAAAGAGTTAACTGGGAGTTTTCTTTGCGTTACGTCTAACTAGTCCGTCGGTTCTGACCTTTTTAGAAGAGCGATCTTTTTGATCAAATAATCCTGAACATGGATAACGGACCTGCGACTATTGTCCATGCCTAGACCCAATCATTTGTAAGCAACGTAAAGCGCAGTGCTGTACACATCCAGAATATAATAGAGTTGACTGTTACATCATAAGGTTAAACTTATTTTATGTTGATCATGAGAACCAAGCTGGCTTCAGACCTGGTCGTCGCTGCATCGACCACATATTCACCATTCGTCAGGTTCTAGAACATAGGCATACTTATCGGCGTCCAACAATGGTGGTCTTTCTTGACTTAAAAGCAGCATTTGACTCGGTAGACCGAGAGATTCTGTGGCAGTGTCTGTCATTGAAAGGCGTACCCCAGAAGTACATAAACCTTGTAAAGGCTCTTTACTCGAACACTACTAGTCGAGTCAGGGCTTATGGCGAACTGTCATCTACTTTTGCAACTTCAAGTGGTGTCCGTCAAGGCTGTCCACTTTCTCCATTTTTGTTTAACCTCATCATAGACCTATTGATGGAAATAACATTCTCGTCTACCGGATTCTCGGGTATTGATCTCCTTCCAGGAGGTCCACTTATCGACTTAGAATACGCAGATGACGTAGTCCTGTTTGGTGAAGACGCTGACAAAATGCAGTCTTCTGGTAGCACTGAGCAACAATGCCAGAATGTTTGGAATGCGCTTCTCTCCCTCTAAATGCAAGTTGTTGCTTCAGGACTGGTCTGCGTTAACACCTGAACTAAGGATAGGGAGTGAAGTAATCGAACGCGTCGACAACTTCACTTATCTTGGAAGTCTAATCAGCCCTAATGGGTTGGTATCGGACGAAATCTCAGCACGGATTCGAAAAGCTCACTTGGCTTTGCCGAATTACGTCACCTATGGCGAAGGCGAGATATCCGTCTATCAATAAAAGGACGAGTATACTGCACAGCAGTTCGTTCTGTTCTACTTTACGGCAGCGAAACATGGCCATTAAGAGTAGAAGACACTCGTAAGCTACTAGTATTTGACCACAGATGCCTTAGAAATATTGCCAGCATCTGCTGCGATCACCGTATAAGCAATAGTGAGGTTAGACGCAGGGTATTAGGGGGTGATGGTGAATCAGTTGATGAAGTTGTGAATCTTCATCGACAGAGATGGTCGGGTCACATGTTACATATGCTTGAACACTGATTACCACGATGAGTAATGTTGACTAGTGTTGGAGACGGTTGGAAGAAAGTTAGGGGAGGCCAAACCGAGAACGTGGCATCAGTGCTTGAAGTCACTAACTTCTGGTCTGAGCCATGTTGGTAGATGTAAACTACTTGGTTGGGGTCCGCGTGACTGTCGTAACCAATGGTTGGACTCTTGGTGACATGGCTCAGAATCGATCACAATGGCGTCGGTGTATACACTCTCCGTCTTCCCTTAAACTATGAGATTAAAATCGCTTCATACCTTTCCTTCTACGAACTAATCCTTTCTTCCTGTACTATATCCTTATTGCAATCTTTCTTTTATATATTGCCACCTCTGAATTAACTACTTTTATGAATCCGGTGTCCATCTTATTGTGTTAATGAGGTATGGCAACTTGGACCGATGCATATATGTGCCTGGTCCTACGTTGTAGCTGACTGACTGACTTTTTTATCCCACTTTTGTTGAGCTATGGTAAATCTGCTTGATCCAATTGGTTGGCCTTCTAGGATGTTAGGATGATGCGTCGATAAATTGTGTTGTCATCATTACCGATTTCATACAATACCGACATGTGAGTCACAAGTATGTGTTCCTAAGTAAATAAAGTTTCCATCCGAAGATTTTTTAGGTACACATAGAAACTGTCTCTATGGTCACTTTACTACAAACCATTCTGGAAATATTTTATACGAATATTCGTCAAGATTAGAACGAATAGTTTGACAGTAATTGAGCGCCGAGTATAGAGAAGTCATTATATGTAAAAATTATATTTGAAATATTCTCAGCGGTTGAAATTTAACTAATTCCAACGTTTCGTTCAGCTATCTTTGATTATTACCCTGAAGAAGTCCAGACAAGTTAGCTGGACGAAACGTTGGAATTAGTTAAATTTCAATCGCTGAGAATATTTCAAATATAATTTTTACATTCTGGAAATAGCTTTAATAAAAAAGGTAGTGGTAGTGTTAATCTGTCACTTGGAGACTTTCCATTCTTCATTATGCAGATTTTGTATTACAGTATGGTATACAAGCTGAACAGTTATTCAGTTGACAATGTCCGTAGGTATGGCATGTACTTTGGATCTTCTAAATGCAAGTACCTTCACAAGTTTGGAAGGATCCTGTCTCGACACCTCTCATTGTCAATCATCATTTCAAAAGCACGTGTATTCGGATGGTTGGATGCTTGGTGATGGCATAGTAAATGAGATAGATCTACGTATAGTGAAAGCTAGAGTTTTTGTCAACCTGTGCCCTTTTAAAGCTATTTGTGACTATTTTCTAGCTATAACAGGTCGAGTTTCTGTCTGGATAAGCGTAGTCTTACTCAATGTGTGGGAAACAGCCGCTCTAAGTTAAAGATGTTGAGCAACTAGCTGTAATCTGTCATCGTCTCCGGTGGATTGATAACATTTAGTGGCAATATCATATTAGTTGTACGGAGGTTTGGTAGTGTATGTTCAGGCGTAGTAAAGATAATCCATTTAGTGTCATTCTGGAACCTTGGGACTGGTTGCAGTAAGCGGAGAGTAGTCAGATTATGATATGGTCCTGGAGTATGGTGGAAAATTGTGTAGGATTGATATATGTCGGTTCATCACAACTCCTTGGTTTTGGCTCTAGGGATGGTACAACTCAGTGGCCAAAATATTATCAGATATAGCTCAATAAAATTCCAACTCCACATTCTTCGTAAAGAAGAACTTCCTTACATGAAAGGGTTTTTCCTGGATGTAATTTCTTTGTCTGATTTATCTCTCCTATTATAATTTATCCTGGTCCACTTATTTCCATTTATTTATTTGATTACACTCATGCTTTCTCCATCCTTTCACATTTTCTATTTTATGTGGCACTTTTTCTGATTCTCGTTGCTACAAATATTTGTTTCAGTAAGTAAATAAGTCAACCGTTTACCACCAAGCACTAATATTTTATAGCAGTTTTATTGTAGTTGCGTTTAACTGAAGATATTAAGCAAGTGTTGTTTTCTTAATGTTAATGATCGATCTTTAGTTTTCAGATGATTTCGGTTATTTTGGTTTGATAAACTTCAATCCAAACCCTCTGTAGTCCTGTTTAAGTTACAAGTTATATGCATGATGTCCAACCCTACATAATATTGTTCTCATCATGAACTGTTCATCATTATTTGATTTTAATTCCTAAAATATTTTAAAATAACGTTTCTTTGTTTCAGCTTTTGTTGGTGGACAACCAGTCATCCAAAACCCTTTTGACTTAGTGGATGGTCGAATTCATGGCTGAAGTCGGACAAGAATTACATCTTACAGGTAATTGCTCAGGTACATACTGATTTCTATTCGTGTCACTAGTTTTTTCATTTATATAAGGTCTTACTGTCGTCACTTGTTCAGATATTTTTTTGCATCATATGAAATTGTTTATACCAACATCAGATGCAGATATATGCAGAATAGACTACAATTATTCTGTTTACTGCATTTAATTACTTTGGTAAAATCTTGGGTTCCATCGCTAGCTATCATTCATCTCTGCTTAGAATCATGATAGTTGTTAATGATCTGAGGCATGAGATGCATTCAGTGTCAGACCAGAGGTAATATTATTTTCAAAAACAACATTGTTGGTGGAATACACTGTAATAAGCATGTCTGGTAAGCATAGAGTTTTCATTATTGAGTACTGCATGATAAACCAAAATGTTAATGTAACTGCAAACTTACGTGCTTTTCGGAATCGCTGCTTTCAGAGTGGAGTAAGGCTGGTTTCCCTTGTGTTCAATCAATTATTGGTTAAGTCGAAGAAAGACACTGACGAGCAGTAACTCAACTTTAGTTATATTCATTTTACTTAAAGTATTGTCAAAATTGGTTCCAAAATGGATCCTCTTAGTATCATAAATTGTTATTACGCATATCCCAAGTGTCGTCTTGTTTTCTTGTAGTTTTTAGTCACTTTTCTCTTCAAGCGCTAGTATTTTCTCACCCTTATCAACTATATGTTTTTCCTTATTTTCCAGTCAAACCATCTACACCAACAAGTGGAAAACGAAAATCTTCTAGTCGGTTAAGTCTGTTTCATTCAACTGCTAGGAAATCACGAGCATCTGCTGGTGATTTAAATTTACCCACCCCTAATGGTGCTTTGACCTCGCTAACTGATGGATCTTCAGGTATTGATTTTTTGTTTCGAATTGACTTTTACTAGGATGTAAGATAGCGTTACGTAGCTGACTTGTTCAGGTGTCTATCTTGACGGTATGAAATAGATGAATTGAGTTTTTTGGTTACTTCCTCTACTGCGGAAGTCTCATTATACGTGATTAGGTCTATGAGTAGTAAAACCTTGTCATAAATCCAAAGTAAACATTTGCCTACTTATGGGTTTCCATATTGTTTACATTTAATTCTGAGAAATGTGCTGAACTGACCCGGCTTATTACTGCTCTATTTCACTGTAATTGATCCGTTATTCCGTTCTCTTAGGTGAAAGTATATCGTGTAAACAACCACGTATTTAATAATCAAAATGGTCTTGAGCAAACATAGACTGTTCAGTAAGAAGCCTAGCGGTATTTTTATATAATTAATAACAACCAGGCTCATCATTATCTTCCTTTTATTTAAAAGTAACACCGAAAGGTGGAGGATTCTGCTAAGATCTGTCAGTGCTCTTCAGTGTAAGTTATTTCCACAATGTTTCACACTCTATAACTTACTACAAACAGTTTTATAACTGGTTTATAGTCTAGCTCAACTCTATGGAGTGGATTGGAATAATAAATATGTACGAATTTGAGTACTTAACCAGAATGTAAGCTGTTGTCAAAAGTTTCTCAACTGTTAGATGGTTATTCATACTCAGATTGGTGGACAAATGAGCCTGTTTCGTGTACATTATTATTTCTAGGGAGAATAGAGTGACTTTGTTGATTTCTTGTCTTAGTGAATCATTTACCGGTCATCCCGTTCACTTACATTCTGGTTGCTGCGATCATTTGTTGACTTTTGCATCCTTCGATCACTTTATAAAAGCCACTATGATGTTGTTTTTCTGTATACTTTTTTCTTTCAGACTTACACGACACGCCGATGCGTGCTAAACTCGAAAAAAGGCAGCATCGTATTTTCGAATTTTTTGTGACAGAACGAAACTATGTTGAGATTCTACGTTATTTGTGCTTGAGCGCTTATCCAGTAAGTGTTAATTGTGTCTTATGTTTTCTAAACTTAGTTTCAATATTTTAATTTTTTCTCTGTACACATTTCATATTCATTTCTTTCTTTTGCTGCTGTAGCAAGTTATCGACGAAAATCAACCAGGTGGACCTGTTTTGCCGCGACAGGAAGCCGATTTCGTGTTTGGCAAGCTTGGTGCTATTTATGAACTACATGATCGTTTACAACCTCAGTTTAATGAGCTGGAGAATAATTGGTCTTTATCTGAAAGTTGTCTTGGGAATGTACTTCAGCTTAGTTTATTGACTGAAATGGATAGAGTAAGTATTTAATACGATTATTACTATTGCCCATCGTTGTCATAAAAGTTTTGACTGCTTTTGTTCAGTGCTGGAATATATTGATATTTCTATCTTGACCATGGTTAGTAGATTTATAAACGAAGGTAACTTATTCTATCAATTCAGATCGCTACACCTCGACAAGTTACAAGGGGTGATCATTATTTTATTTGAACACATAAATATTAGTACCAGGGGGCTTCAAATATATATGCGCCACACAAAACAATGAGAATTCGAAGAGAAAAAAAAGGTAAGGAGCGTATAAGAAAAAAAAGAAAAATAACGACCACATATTAGTGTAAGGTAATTTAATAATAATGGGGGAACGGAAAGGTACAACCAGAAGAAATCTTTCAGTTAAGGAAGATACAACCACTTTTTATGAAGAAAGTAAAAGAAGGTTACAGCAGGATCGCCACTGGCTTCTATTCTGAGCCATATCTGATAACGTCTCTAGCCAATGTGTTGCACCATCTCTCGGACCTCTACCAGGAAGTCGTGAAGGACCAACAGAAGCCAGTCCTGTAGAGTTTTCTTTCATATCACGACACCATGTCATACACTGACCACCTCTCCGCTTTTTCCGACTAGTCTCAGCGTCCACAAATAATGCACGACGTGGAATTCTCTGGAACGACATCCGTAGAACATATCCAAACCACCGAAGTCGATGTTTCAAGATGGTGACACCAATTGAATTGTCGTCTTTGTGCCCGAACACACGATGCCAAACCTCTGCATTACTGACATGGTGTTGCCACTGGATGTCAGCAATCCTTCGGTGACAACGATGATCAAACAGAAAGTCGTCTAACATTCTCAACTCGGAGAGTCCTGGTTTCACAAGCATAGAGCAGAACTGCTTTCACTGACTGACATCACGAAGGCGCCAAATATGACCCAGATTGGCATAAGCCGCTCTGGCTTTCACTCATCTCACCACTCACGCCACCACCAGCACTTATGCAGCTACCTAGATACACGAACTTCTCGACTACTTCTATCTGCTCACTATCCAGGGTGAGTACAGGATTAGAATTCTGCCAGTCTTGAATAGGTGGAGTGAACTTTTTTTAAAGATAGGGACAACTATCGACTCATTCCATGACGTTGGTACACTCTCTAGTTCCCAGACCTTTGTAAACAACGTTGTCAGTTCCTTAGCCGGAAAGTCACCACCATCTTTAAAAAGAGCCGGAGTCATCTGGGCCCGGTGATTTGTGGCGCTTCAAGAGTCGGAGTTCCGCCTCATTTGGTGGACCAGTGGTCACCGACCATGGAGGGCAGGAAAGTCCGACCGATGTTGTCGGAGCAGCAGACCATTTGAACTGCCCTTCGAAGAATTCTGCTCATCGTCCAAGACGTCGATGGATGTCGGTGATTGGCATCCCGTCATCCTCACAGATTGTTTCGCTCACACCAGACTTCTTGCTGCTAGTGGCTCGAATGAGTTGGAAGAGCTTCCGGCAGTTACCAGATGCAGTTGCTGCTTCCAGTTCATTAGCACGCTCCGACCACCAGGCTTCTCGGTCCTTACGCAAGCTTTGCCCGATTTCATTACATAACAGTCGTCGTTTGTGGTCAAACGCACAGTCACTCGGAGTAGACCGATGGGCTTCGATTAGTTGTAAGGAGCCTGAAGAAACCCAGGATTATAAGCGGGACGTTTCGCGAAGCCACACGTGGCTTTACTCGCCATTTTCATAGCGTCATGCAATCGCAACCAATGCTCATCTATACTTTTCGGTGGAACAGTAGCTAACCTAGAAACTAGCTTGGTTCGATACTTACTTGCAACAGAAGTTGCAACCAATTTACTAGCATCAATCCTTTGGTGACGATCATTTCGTTGGCCACTGAGAAGTAAGGTAAGATTAGCGCAAACAAATGCATAATCAGAATCCGGATAGGTACTCCGAAATGAGTGGCAGTCTTGTACACAACCACGCCAGCGGTAGCTGATCGCGATGCGATCAGTCCAGGCTTAAAATGCAGAGAGAGGACGCCAGGTGGCACATCGGCGATGACTGCCGAAAGTTAGTGCTAGCCAGAAACAGGTTGTGGTCTGTGCATAGTCTCAGTAGACGGTCCCCGTTATCTGTCCTGCGACCTACAAGTCCCCATCAGCCACCTAAACGACTCTCTTCTGTGCCTAGACGCCCAACCTGAGCATTCAAGTCTCCGGCTAGTACTACAATATCTGTCGAACGCACTTGCTGGAGAAGAACAGATAACTGGTGGTAAAACTCATCCTTGATTGCATCCGGGCTGCAATCTGTCGGGGTATAGGCGGAGATGACGAAAAGACATCGTTTCTCACGCCGATTTCTTCTCACTTTGATGGAACTTTCTAATCTAACAGCACACAGCCGACTGTTAATGGGGATCCAATCGATTAGTGCTGCCTCAGCTCTAACGCTTAGTGCGACACCAACGCCAGCAAGACCAGACGAAGATGCCACAGGGTCCCCGGATAAGCGCACGTAAAACAAGCTTTTCGAAGCGACAGATGGAGATCGAATTTGTAGTACTTCACCAGAGTCTTGAATACGGGTCTCGGATAGACAGCAAACATCAATATTAAGACTTTCCAAAGACATAGCCAACCCTATCTGTTTTCCGACCTGCATAAGTGTGCGAACGTTGATGGCAGCCAGTTTGAATGGTGCACGTGGTTTCAGAAAAACTGCTTCAGTATTAGTATTTGGTGGTAGCACTCAATTTTCAACCAGTCAGTGACTCGAGAACGCTTAGATAGAACCGAGTTTCCACCAAAGGCGAGCTGCTGTATGAGTCGAAAATAAGGATACATAAAGTGGGAATAAAAGAGAATGAATAAATGACGTAGTGAATAATAATAATAATAATAATAATAATAATAATAATAATAATAATAATAATAATAATAATAATAATAATAATAATAATAATGTGAATCGTTTGACTGTTAGCGAAGCAAGAACAGTATTTTCCTTAAGTATCGTCATTTCATTCTGTTTGTGTGTGGGCTGTGATACTGCCCGTGTGCCCAGATCGAAGCAGGTGGTTTTCTCAGGGGGCCGGGGACCATAGCACGTTGGAAGCACCGGTTCTCGTCCGGTGATCAATAAAAGCGTGGAAAATCAAGAAAATGTCTGGGAAGAGGTCAAAACAAAAAAACTTAGTAAATAATTGTGCGTTGAACAATAAAATACGTAAAATTCAAATCGAGTAAAGGATGTGTTCTGTCTGCATGGTATTACTCCTAATGTTTGTCAAACCCAACTGAAAAAAATATCAGACATCACTGGCATATTATGACGTGTTTTTTTCAAGAAACAGTTATTGTTGATAAGAAGCATATCAACGAAACTAGTAAGAATAATGATTAACAATATTTGATAGTCACTTTTACTGATTACTATGTTTTCTGAATGAAATTCTGATGATTGATTGATAAGTGGTCCATTAGAGTCATTTTGTTATTAGGCATAACTTTTTCCTATTGTCAATTTTAGGCATATGGGAATTATATGCAATTTTACAGTCCACCACATTTACACCACCTTGGTGAACAATTTCCCCGTTTTCATGCTTTCATGCGTCAAGTTGAAAAAAGGAAAGAATCTGGTCGTCAAAGTTTGACAGCTTTACTAGTTCGTCCAGTCCAACGACTTCCTTCGATCTCACTTTTAATGGATGGTTAGTTTTTCTTTGACTGTTACCATGTATCAGATTTTTACTTATATGTCGATTATTTTCTAATTTTGTAGATTAACATCTAAGTTATTATAATTAGCTATCGAATCGGATCGATTTATACTTTCTACCTGTTCACTTACGATGTATCCTATGTTACATGGAGTTTAATAAAATAGGTTTCATTGATTGTGTATCGATTTTGCTTTGTTTTAAGCCGTTTATCGTTATGTACTCCCTTTTGCTTGTATCTCTGTTGTCATTAACGTTATTTAAAAATGAATGGAGTAGAGAACTATCCATCCCTTAAGGGGTATTTTCCACTTATTATTAGATACTTATCATCGGTTGCTCACTGGATTTCGTCTCCTTATTCATTTAAATGTTCTTTGTTGATCATTTCATAGTTTTGTCAAAATTTACAACAACTTAAACTGATATATCTTTAAATGGGGTCACTCAGTTCTGCATGTAATGTGTTTTGTAATGTTAAGCCAACAACCTATCTTAATCTGCATGGGATTCTTGTGGCCTTAAATTGTCAATTTCAATCAGACTTTTCGCTTAGTATTTCCACGTTGACATCGTTAAGGATGAAATATGTACTAATCGTTTTCAGATAACCTAAATTACAACCATTATTATTCATTATTATTACACAGGCATTGCCAAATTCACACCTCAATCACATCCAGATTACAACTCAGTTAAAGAGTTTGCTAAAGGAATTAACGAGCTATTGGCTAAAATAAATGATCGGTTAAGGAAAAATGAAGAACGCCTATCTTTATTATCTTTATATCATGAAATTAGTGGTGCCCGGTAAGTTCTTTTCTCTAGAACATTCTACACAGTATTATTTGCCGTAAATATGCCACGTAATTTGCTTCTGTATTTCTTTCGAATCGATAATGTTGATTTCAGCCTGAGATGTTATCTTCCTCTCGAAGTCTAGTGGCAAAACTTAACGTTTTTGAATTAGGAGTAAGCGCTTCTGGAAATACAACTTGCGAACCTGTGACACTTTTCTTACTATCCGATAGTTTGGAAGTAGCTCGTCCTCGTAAACGATTTACTGGTGAACCTCTTGCACACGCTATTCGAGCCGCGTTAGCTGCAGTACAAGGTAAGTCCTGCCTACCATATGTTTTTAATCTAAAATGGGTTTTTTTAATTTAAACTTTATAATTCAAGTTAGTCTCTGTTCTGGATTTACTTAGTGAGTTAAGGTACTAGTTACCAGAAATTGTTTATAATTTCGTTATTTTTCAATGTTAATCTGTTTATTAGGCATGTCAGTTAATCACATTTTACTGTATTAAATATCTAATTATACTCCTCACATGGGTCAAGTATGGGCATTCGCTAAGTGGTCTAAGTAGCATAGTGATAACATCGATCCTCAAAATGATATGTGAGACAATGTATTTGGTAAGTGCTTTACATTATCATTCGCTTCACATTGGATTTAGTCTCAAATTTTCGGCGGTAGTCTTTTGAAACAACCTCTATTAACATATCTGGTCAGGGAATTTAACCCTTATATATGTCGACTGATACTATGATGTACAGAGCTGAAACTTAGAGAACTTTTACAATCATCATGAAAAAGCACAAGTATTTATAAACAGCTGTTTGTGCAGGATACTCCAGGTCAATTAGTCAGACATAAAAATATAACCTACTATGGCAACGAACAAACCAGCTTCCTGCTCAGAAAATTAGGGCAAGACGCTGTAGCTGGATAAGGACGTATTACAGAAATCAAACTGTATCACAAGCCAAACCCTAACTTGGAATTTTCATGGCTATAAGAAAAGAGTCAGACCTAAGAACGCATTGAGTCGAGAATCGGAGGTAGACATTAAAAGAATGGATAGAACTTGGCAAAAAAGTGGAGCGGAGAGTCCAGAAAAAGTTGGTTGGATTCCTCTAGTCAGTGGCCCATGCTCCTCAAAGATTAACAGGTGTAGGTTCGCGCACGAGACCTACGGTCCTCGGCCTGGCTCCCAGTTTCTTGGTCGTATATGCGCACCGCTGGGAATTCCTATACTATTTCGAAACGGCCGTCCAATGCTTTCATGTTTTCAATTGTTGCTTAACATGAATCAGTTCACGATGTCAATCTAATTCAATAATCTCCACAATTCTGTTCTGACAATCATTGTTTTATTCAAGTGTTTTGTAGTATAGTAAGATGTAGGAAAGTTCAATTCTTATTTGTCGTCGTAAAACACTTGGTAACTCCATCAAACTAACCGCATATCAGGGTACACTATCTTTTTGAAATGTGTAGATATAATAATAGTGTGTTGTGGGTATTAATTTGGTCATGTATGTCCATATTTCTACAGGTGAAGGGTCTGAACACAACTTCGACGGTAATCATGATCAAACTTCAATTAACAATGGTGATTTTTCATCAAATCCGTCAACAAATACTGCTTTAAGTGGAGTTTCTGTTTCTCGGACTGGTTCAGGTGCATCTGGGACAAGTGTGGTGAACCTCGGTCTTATGGAAGGCAAACAAAGGTGTTGTTATAAGCATTTACAGTTGCTGAAATTACAGGAAATAAAACAAGTGTGTTCTACATTTTATTAAATCCATTTGCTTTTTTTCTAATCGGTTATTATTATCCCAGTTCTTAAAATCTAAATAAGGATAAGTTGGAATTCCTAGCATCTTTTGTTCTGTAATGGGTCGTACTACCTAGTTTTTGATTGAGATCATGAACCGATTGATGTTAGACCACCACAATTGAAAACCTGGAAGCACTGGACGGTCGTTTCGTCCTATTGTGGGACTCCTCAGCAGTGCGCATCCACGATCCTGCGAGCGGGATTCGAACCCAGGGCCTTCGGTCTCGCGCGCGAACGCTTAACCAACTGGACCACTGAGCCGGCATCCAATGGTGATAGTTTCTAACATCAACCAATCCACGAAATTGCGCGACCAACTTCCGTTGTACTGAGGTAGATACCTGTCTCTACCTAGTTTTTCCCTTAGTATTTGTCGTTTATTACATATTTCCCTACCATTTTATGGATTTTGAGTCATCGCTCAGTTTATCAAGGTTGATTAATTTATTATTAATATATCTTTCTGTCGTCTATTCTTCTAGTGTTGTCATAAGTTTTGATGGACGAGATAAAAACAAATATCACTGGACCTTTCAAAATTTAAGGTAATCTTATCTTTATTTGTAGGTGGTCAATTTTGATACTGCCTCTCCAGACCGAGCTGCTTTCGGTTTAGTGGTACGTTCCAGTTCCGAGGTTGATGATCGTGTTCATGCTTATTGCTTGGCTGCCAGTTTTGCAGCCTCAGCGGCAGTTGTCAGCGGGAAGTGTCCAGAACCTGTTGAATCAGCAGTTGCAGCGGCCACAGCATCTGGACAGATTTCCACTGCAGTCAGTATAGATACTTCACCATCAAATATAACTACTAATTCAAACAATTCACATGTAGCAATGTTACAGGCGTGTGTTGGTGAAGCCAAACGTGTTTTTCTTCACAGATTATGCCATCATATTTGTCTTGTTTCATGTATAGCAAAGAATCCAGAAGAAATACTAGTAGATGTCGAACCAGAAGAATTACTCGGTTTTGACTTAGAACAAGTTTTTAATGCAACTGCTTTGGCTTTATCTTCTAAAAGGTAACTGTACTACAACATCAATGTGTGTTAGTTTGTCACTAAAATGTACAGATTTTGTTTTTAATTATCAAGCAGTAAGTTTAAGAAGCAGAAATGACCTATAATATTGTACCTGTCAGTTGCTGTCTGATCGTTAAAGCACTTTGCTCTCATATGTCTCAGTTTCTAACCCTGCTTCACTTATTTTGGTTTGGACAGCCAGGCAGCTTCACCACCCCTTATACAGTTCACCCTAATAAGAGTGACCAACAAAAAGGTGCATATAAATAAAAGTGAGCATTAAAGGAGAGAATAGCATTCTTAATTATGTGAATACTGTTCGATTTACCCTGTGTTGTGGAAGACGTTCTGAAACGAACAGGTTGTTGGGGGAGTGACATAGAGGTTCTGGCCAACTTGTTGGTGCCGCTCATCCAAGTATATAGAAATGTATTGATGCTCTGAAAAAGTAAAAAGTCTAAATGAATTGAACAGTTTGTTGCAGGAATCCCGCAACGGCATTTATAAATAAAGTGTAAGGTGGTAGCAGTATGTATCAAATTGGTCATAGAATATTACGAAAACAGATCGACATTACACTGTATATATATGGAATAGCGCATAATTTGAACATACAGATCTAAAATGTTTAACTATGTTACTAAAATTTTGTAATGCATGTAACATTTACATCTATATTAAGTTGATATTATCCCTTTTAATACTATCTTTCAATGTATTATATTAAGTCGGTTAGTAATAAATTGGCCTTTTATGGTGATGAGTTACCAACGTGTCGGGTAGTCGGGGTCCGAATCTCAAGTTTCTATGTCGTTTACTTACACCGATTACCCCTCTTAGTCTGTCGAAAAATATAAAGAGTAATATACAACTTCAAGGATCGATATAAGTTTGGGTAACGATCATTAATTAAAAGAAAAATATGATAAAATCAAAGGTTATCTACTTCAGGGATACGAATATGATGAAGAATATATAAAAAACAGGAAGGTAGTAATAATAAAGTATCAATAACCGATTGAATGTGAAAAATTAGACATTATAGTTGTGATATGATAAGCTGCTACTGCATCTGTAGTGAAATCATCTTTACAGTATTGCTGTAATTTAGTCAGATTTTTAATTTAAGATAACTTTTTTTAAAAAAAAAACGTTTCTCTTTGTCATACGTAAATCTGAGTATGGTTTCAACTGAAGTGAAAATTATGTACTCGACAGTCCTATATTAATAATAATTGCACAAGACCATTTAATTAATGTCAAATGAACTCTAGTCATTTGACTCTTATTATCACGAACGTCAATAATCTACAAAATAAAAGTTCATTAGGTTTCGTTGGAGAGAGCACAAAGGATAATGTTTTCAGGAACACATGTAGTGAAGAATACCGAGGATAGCTTTTTAATTTCAAAAGTAAGGCATGTTTTTGGCACTTAAGACTTCAAAGATTTACCAAGCGTTTTCTAAACATTTCTCTAAACAGACTATCCCCTAGTTATTTGAAGTAGACGTGCGCGATAACATGACTACGGTAGTAGGAACATCAATTTGTTACCAAATTTGAAGGATTACAACGTTTGTTGAAAGTAGACTCTATATTAGATGTTTAGAAGTCTACTTTTTTATTTGTCGTAGGGTCAAGGGACAGAGCGAAACGAACAGATTTCGCACCACTAAAAATGTTATCCCCTCTTTTTATGCCCACCTTTATTTATATACGCCTTTTTGATGGTCACCCCTTTTTAACCGCGGTATTTTGAGTGGATACCGTCTTACACAGGTCATGTGACTCAAAACCGAATACTTAAATCCCTCAGTGAGTCGTCTGCAACACAGAACCAGGCATAAATATGCACCGGTCCAGGTTGCCATACCCCATTAGCACAAGATGAACGCCGAACTCATAGAGACAGTTACTCTTATGGCAGCAAAAAAGATTCCATATAAGGATATGATACAGGTAGAAAGAATTGGTTCGTAGAAAGAAAGGTGTAGAGTAATTTTAATCTCACGGTTTAAGGGAATACAAAGAGTTTATATACTTCCGCGATTGTAATCAGCTCGGAGTCTTGTCACCCAAAGTCTCCAACCATCGGTTACAATAGTCACGTGGACCCAACCAATTAGTTTACATCTACCAACATGGCTCAGACCAGAAGTTAGTGACTTCAAGCACTGATGCCACGTTCTCGGTTTGGCCTCCCCTAACTTTCTTCCAACCGTCTCCAACACTAGTCAACATTACTCATCGTGGTAATCAGTGTTCAAGCATATGTAACATGTGACCCGACCATCTCTGTCGATGAAGATTCACAACTTCATCAACTGATTCACCATCACCCCCTAATACCCTGCGTCTAACCTCACTATTGCTTATACGGTGATCGCAGCAGATGCTGGCAATATTTCTAAGGCATCTGTGGTCAAATACTAGTAGCTTACGAGTGTCTTCTACTCTTAATGGCCATGTTTTCGCTGCCGTAAAGTAGAACAGAACGAACTGCTGTGCAGTATACTCGTCCTTTTATTGATAGATGGATATCTCACCTTCACTGTTCATGATCGTTCAGTAGACTTTTGGCTAACGTGTATCTGGTTTGTTTTCTCTCTATCATTTTCAGAACCTAATAGGATAAGTTTACGAGAGTATCAGGGCGATAAATGTCGCAGAAATCCACTGGTTTTCCGTAGCCTTTAGGTTCAGCTCACCATTAGATATCTCTGCTATTTCCACATCTGTTCGTATATCTTTCCAATCAATATCTGGGTTAATCTCGTCTTCAGAACTCCCCAAGTGTGACTTCAGTTGTTCCTGGGATTTACGTTTGACTTTCTTGTCTCTGATGGGTCTTCTTAATAAATAAGTCCCGTTTTACCTGTTTTAGTTGTGTAGAGAGGTTAATAAGATTTCTGGATATAGATGTAATAAATGCTGTATCGACTTGAGGTGGAAAAGGCTGATGTAAATTTTGTCGCAGAAATTATTTATACCGAAGATGGTTTTGCCTTAACTACCAAGCAACATCCATAATTCGTCTATGGTTCAATATATCTTCGAACATCACATATGAAGAAGTCATCCGGAAACTGCGTTGTTTCCCAATCACAAATCGATAGTTATGGGGCTGTGAAATCCCCACTTTCGATCGTAAGTTTGAATATCACAGCCTATCCAGTTCGGATAGCCGAGTTTTATTTGTATTTTCCATAGAATTCTTTTTGGTGCATAACGAATCATAGGAATATCTACTTAGGTTCTGAGTTACTTCGGGACTATTGAATAATTGTTATTCGAGCTGTTATTGCGATTGCCATTGTTCCTAGTCCTAAAACCAATAAACAATAGATCCAAAGTCCATTAAAAAAGTCAAGAGAACATAGCTTCCCAATAATAATAATCGGGTCTTCCTATATCTGTAATTTTTTGTCCTTACGTTCTTTAGTTAAAATATGACGGGTTGGTTATTTGAGATTAAAATTCTTGATTCTTAGCTAAACCGGTCGCAGCTACTTTTACTAGATTGTTGTTGACCATGTTCGGAAAATTGGCGAAGTCAACTAAAGAGCTTCGTGACCACTTCTATTTAAAAATATGCTCATAATTTGTCTCTGTATTTCTTTAGTTTTATTCAATAGCGGAAACTTGTTTCTGTGTATATAAGGAATAAGATTCACAACCACGTTTTATGACGAAATCATTTCATGAAAATGTATCACTGTTATTGATGTGACACTTTTCTGTATTTGTAAAATAGGTGTATTTTTATATTTTTGTATACACAATTACTCATCCATGTTTTTCAGAATCACGCGACAATTAACCCGCAATATATCTATAAAAACCCCTCGCCGTCTACCAGCTTCTGCCAAACGCCAATTCGGGGCACAGCCTCCACAACCCCCTAGCACTCCAACTTCCCATAGATTGCAGGTTCCCATTGAGATGGATGAAAGTCAAACAACAGACATGTATCTTATCCCAAGTCCAAGACGTTCAATGCTTGGTTCATTTCTGGGTGTAAGTCACTATTTTTCTTATGTATTATATCGATATTACGGAGGAGTAAGATTTAAAATTGTTTGATTAGTAGTAATATAAGTTACTCGGAAATATTTATTCAGATATTTTAAGACTGACAAAATAACCATTTATCAAGTGAGCCACAGCGATGGAGTTTCGTCGTTGGTTTTGCTTGTCAGTCAGTCAGCTACAACGTAGGACCAGGCACATATATGCATCGGTCCAAGTTACCATACCTCATTAACACAATAAGATGGACACCGGATACATAAAAGTAGTTAATTCAGAGGTGGCAATATATAAAAGAAAGATTGCAATAAGGATATAGTACAGGAAGAAAGGATTAGTTCGTAGAAGGAAAGGTATGAAGCGATTTTAATCTCATAGTTTAAGGGAAGACGGAGAGTGTATACACCGACGCCATTGTGATCGATTCTGAGCCATGTCACCAAGAGTCCAACCATTGGTTACGACAGTCACGCGGACCCCAACCAAGTAGTTTACATCTACCAACATGGCTCAGACCAGAAGTTAGTGACTTCAAGCACTGATGCCACGTTCTCGGTTTGGCCTCCCCTAACTTTCTTCCAACCGTCTCCAACACTAGTCAACATTACTCATCGTGGTAATCAGTGTTCAAGCATATGTAACATGTGACCCGACCATCTCTGTCGATGAAGATTCACAACTTCATCAACTGATTCACCATCACCCCCTAATACCCTGCGTCTAACCTCACTATTGCTTATACGGTGATCGCAGCAGATGCTGGCAATATTTCTAAGGCATCTGTGGTCAAATACTAGTAGCTTACGAGTGTCTTCTACTCTTAATGGCCATGTTTCGCTGCCGTAAAGTAGAACAGAACGAACTGCTGTGCAGTATACTCGTCCTTTTATTGATAGACGGATATCTCGCCTTCGCCATAGGTGACGTAATTCGGCAAAGCCAAGTGAGCTTTTCGAATCCGTGCTGAGATTTCGTCCGATACCAACCCATTAGGGCTGATTAGACTTCCAAGATAAGTGAAGTTGTCGACGCGTTCGATTACTTCACTCCCTATCCTTAGTTCAGGTGTTAACGCAGACCAGTCCTGAAGCAACAACTTGCATTTAGAGGGAGAGAAGCGCATTCCAAACATTCTGGCATTGTTGCTTAGTGCTACCAAAAGACTGCATTTTGTCAGCGTCTTCACCAAACAGGACTACGTCATCTGCGTATTCTAAGTCGATAAGTGGACCTCCTGGAAGGAGATCAATACCCGAGAATCCGGTAGACGAGAATGTTATTTCCATCAATAGGTCTATGATGAGGTTAAACAAAAATGGAGAAAGTGGACAGCCTTGACGGACACCACTTGAAGTTGCAAAAGTAGATGACAGTTCGCCATAAGCCCTGACTCGACTAGTAGTGTTCGAGTAAAGAGCCTTTACGAGGTTTATGTACTTCTGGGGTACGCCTTTCAATGACAGACACTGCCACAGAATCTCTCGGTCTACCGAGTCAAATGCTGCTTTTAAGTCAAGAAAGACCACCATTGTTGGACGCCGATAAGTATGCCTATGTTCTAGAACCTGACGAATGGTGAATATGTGGTCGATGCAGCGACGACCAGGTCTGAAGCCAGCTTGTTTCTCTCGTGTTTGCAGTTCACGAGTCTTAGTTAGGCGTCTGATAATTATCGAGGCTAGTATTTTAGATGCTATATTAGTTAAACTTTTGTTTTTACATTTATCGGAAGTCAAATTAAACCAATTCAATCATAAATAAAAATAATATATTTGTAATATCCCAATGAGTAGAAAATTGGATTTTTCTGACGTTTCGTGGCTTAGTGTAAGTCACTTCTTCAGAGAATAAATAACCAAATTAAATTAATCCAAGTTTAAATAGTACAACGGTGATTCATAAGTGATAAGTATACTTATCACTTATGAATCACCGTGACAGAAATGACATACATCAACTTGTTCAGACCTGTTTTTGATTGATCAAATATTCTTGCATTGTTCCGTTGTACTATTTAAACTTGGATTAATTTAATTTGGTTATTTATTCTCTGAAGAAGTGACTTACACTAAGCCACGAAACGTCAGAAAAATCCAATTTTCTACTCATTGGGATATTACAAATATATTATTTTTATTTATAACAATCAACCCAATGCTCAATTTATTCGAAATTATCAAATCAAACCTTGGTAATGACACCTACAATTCAATCATAGTAAATTATTAGGTTGTAACTAATATAGATGGGTTCATTGGGAAAAAAATGTAATAAAGTTGGGAGTGGATATAGTTCCTTAATTAAGAAGGTCCGAATTAATGCGGAAAATTAAAAAGTATCAACTTGTCATTTATTTCTATGTCAGCGCATGAACCGACTAAAAAGTATTTACCGAATTAGTTGCATGGAACGATAAATTCATGGATGCTAATACGCGTTCTTAAGTTTAATCAGGTGTTTTGATTCGCACATGTCATCTAATCGCATTATACTTGTTTCCATTCTTGAAACTAAGCCTATTAAAAGAACTAAAATTGATTAACAATGCATTCGTAGCTGTCACCCGAAAACTTCAATCACGGTCGTCTCGCGAGCCCTACTTAAAAATATCTGCACTTTTATACATTAGACGAGCTACCAACTTCCCTACTCTCTTTTATTATGGTAGGTGTCGATAATGTACAGTATCGTAGCAATATTTGCTGCTCGGAGGAAGAAGGTCGTATTCTGACATTCCAGTGAGTATTTGAGGCAGTTTTGTAGTATTAGCACTCACCATCAACCACAAATAGTGTTGGTCACACCTTGATACCGATATAAATTTTGGTATATATTTGTTTTCTTGGGATAGATAAGCCGTGCTTACGCCTGTTACTCCTCGCGAAGGAGTATAGGTCGCTCACCAGCATTCTCCATCCAACCCTGTATTTGAGGACCTTGGTTTTCCCCTTGTGTGTGTTGAAGCCTACATTGGCCTACATTTATCTGCATTTGTTCGTGTGTATGCGATAGGAGGGTTAAATCATCTGCGAAGTCCAAATCGTCTAATTGGTTCTGAGCTGTCCATTGTATGCCGTGTTTTCCCTCATATGTCGTGGTCTTCATAATCCAGTCGACTACCAGAAGAAGGGAGGAAGGGAGAGAGTAAACAGCTTTGTTTGAATCCGGTCCTTACTTGGAATGCGTCTGTCAGCTGTCCTCCATGTACTACTTTGTACTGTAGTCCGCCGTATGAGTTCCGGATAATGTTGACAATCTTCTCAGGAACTCCGTAGTGTCGAAGAAGTTTCCATCATATTCTCCTATCTGCACTGTCAAATGCCTTTTCATAATCAATGAGGTTGATGTACAATGACGACTTCCAATCAACTGATTGTTCGACGATGATCCGTAGTGTTGCAATTTGGTCTGTGCACGACCGATCCTTATGAAATCCAGCTTGTTGATCTCGAAGTTGGGCGTCTACTGCGTCCTTCATCCTGTTCAGCAACACTCTGTTGAAGACTTTCCCTGATATTGACAGTACTGTAATGCCTCTGTAGTTCTCACATTTGCTCAGATCTCCTTTCTTTGGAATCTTGATGAGGTGTCCTTCTTTCCAGTCCATTGGCACTTGTTCCTCCTCCCAAATCTTTTTGAATAGAAGGTGAAGAATGTTTGTAGTTACTTCGATGTCTGATTTCAGTGCTTCAGCTGGTATATTGTCGGGTCCTGCTGCTTTCCCGTTCTTGATTTGTCTGATGGCCATTCTGATTTCTTCCGTCGTTGGTGAATTGACATCTATGGGAGGATCTGTGTGTGCTGCTTCGATGTCCGGTGGATTCATTGGAGCCGGCCTATTCAGGATTTCCTCGAAGTACTCTACTCATCTATCCCTCTGTTGTTGAATTTCAGTGATTCGCCTGCCTTCTTTGTCTTTGACCGGCCTCTCTGGTTTACTGTATTTCCCTGCTAGTTTCTTCGTTGTATCATAAAGCTGTTTCATATTTCCTTCTCTAGCAGCTTTTTCCGTCGTCGTTGCTAGTTCTTCCACGTACTTTTGCTTGTCAGCTTTAATGCTTCACGTGTTTGTTTGCTTCTATGTACTCAGCTTGTGCTTGGACTTTCTCTGCTCGTGTTCGGCTGTTGTTAATTGCTGTCTTTTTGTTCTTCCTTTCTTGTCCAGTGTTTTTATAAGGATCCATTCCTTATGATGATGCTTCTTGAGGCCCTGAACTTCTTGACACATTGAAGTTAATGCTTCTTTGATACCTTTCTAGTTGTCCTCCATAGTAGTTTCTTCTCCCTCCTGTTGTTAGCTATCTTGAATTTATTGAGTTTGTCAGTATCTCGCCGGAAGGCTGTATTGAACCTATGTAGTGCTGTTTGTCCAGTTGTCCAGTTCTTCTTTAGCTTCAGTTTTAAATTGGCCACAATTAGATGGTGATCTGAGGCTATGTCAGCTCCTCTCCTGCTTCTCACATCCTCCATTGTCCTTCGGAATTTTTTACTGATGCAAATATGATCTATCTGCTTCTCTGTGGTGTGGTCCGGTGAGATCCATGTAGCTTTGTGTATACGTTTGTGTGGAAATATTGTGCCGCCTACGACCAATTTGTTGAATCCACACAGATTTGCAAATCTTTCTCCATTTTCGTTTCTCTCTCCCAATCCATGTTGTCGCATGATATTTTCATATCCGGTGTTGTCTATTCTAACTTTGGCATTTAGATCTCCCATCAGAATGGTGAGGTCCTTTCTTGGGCAATTCTCTATGATTGATTGCAGCCTCTCAAAGAATTGATCTTTAATGTCGTCGTTGCTATCATTGGTGGGTGCATAACATTGGATAATATTCATTGTGATCTCCTCCTTTTTTTTGAATGATGCTTTGATGATTCAGGATCCGTGAGATTCCCATCCTACAAGTGCATTTCGTGCTACTTTGGACAGCATTAGAGCAACTTTCTGGGTGTGTGGAGCATTTTCTTCTTCGTAGCCGAAACATAGCAGCATCTCTCCTGTATTTAGCCTTTGTTGTCCAGCTTGGGTCCAATGGGTTTCTCTGATTCCCCGTACTGTCAAGTTGTATCTCCTCTTTTCCGTTGTTATTTGACTGGTCTTCCTGGTCTCTCACATTGTTCGAACGTTCCATGTACCTATAAAAATTGTTGCTCTGGTTGTTAAAAGGGACATCGGCTTCGTGGCTTCCGAAGGAACTCGGCTTTCACCATCAGGCGTCATAGTTCTTCTAAATGAAGACCTTCTAACTCTCGGCAGACTTTAAATGGTTTGAAATATTTTTTTGGTTAGCGCTTTTTTGCGAGTTGGTTTTCTACGGGATGGGGCTGCTAACCCCGTGCTCGACCCTCCTTTACCCGAGCTTGGGACGGGCAGTAACTCTAGGATACCTAGAGGCGGAGTTATAGATAAGCCTTACCAACACACTATGTTAGCTGTTACATTCTAATCATCACATTTCTTTACGCAAACTTGTAGTCTGTTTCCTGGTAAATAATATTATTTCAAGCGCTTTGTTGTTTGTTTTGCCTTCGGTTTGTTGACTATCTTTAATGTTTGAAATATGAATAAAACATGATTACATACTATCTTTTCATCACTTTATCAAAAGATGTTTTTTTTTTATGTATTTTTAGTCATCTTGTACATCATTAAGCAATTTTCTCAACACAGCCTTGCGTACTAATAACAATCTAAATAATATTAATCATGGAAATTCCGCGCTCAATCGTGCTATGCTACCTCCTAGTCGTTTAGCTATGACACCTAAACCGATTCGACGTCTTCTACCTCGTTCATCCAGACAAAATTCATTCGATGATCTTGATTTAAATGATGATGATGATGTTCCTTTCTCTCAACTTGGAAGTTCTCTTCTTAGTTTAACAAGTCTAGACAGTCTCTCTACACTGGATAATCCTGTTAATCGAGTTGATGTTATTTCTAACCGCAATACTCCTAATCTTAAGTGCCGTGCCGGTAGTGCTGTTTGGGAGTCAGCAAGTCATCTTGGTTTCAGTACATCAGATGATGTTCGTCATTCATTCAGATCACCATCCGGATCGTTTCTTGGCGGTTTTGATGAAGGTTGCTCTAGAAAGCATGGTAAAAAGCAGAAAAAACCGAAACTTCGTGCTGTAAGTCAAATGTTTCAGAGATCTTCAATTATGGTTAAAGCAAAAGAGTCAAGGAAAATAGGCTCTGAAAAAATTGACGCTGAGTTAAATTCTCAAAATTCCCTTCCTAGTTCCCGCCGTGACAGCTTATTTCGTGGTCTGTTTTTCAGAAAAAATTAATTTCTTATGCTGCCATGTACACATTAATATTCTCATCTTGTTTGACCGAACACATTTGTTCGCTTGTATAAAATTTCATTCAAGACAAATTTATACAACAGTAATACTACTAATTGTTTGCATTTTACCTTATAGTGATATATGTAATTAATTACAACGGTTTATTCTTCGTAATCGCCTTCTATAAATTCCTAAGTTATATTTTTATCTAAATTCGCATAATAGCTTTTAATATTTTACTAAATGTATCTCACGCAAGGAGCCATTCAGAGATTAACTGCTACTTGCTGTTTTTCTTCAAGCGTGAGTGTCATTCACCAAATGACATGGATTGATGTTGTTACAAATAGAATGAATTTTGAACTACGTAATGAGTGAGCATATCTGCTAGTTGGGAAGCTTTAAGTTGGATATAAACGTCAATATATGGTACGTGTATCAAAATTAAATCACAGTCTGAAAGATAGAGGTGGCTCGACTTTCAACCACTAAGCCCTAGGTTCGAACCCACCCCATATACTTTATATTAGACAGTTTGGCTGTATCACTACCCCCTAGTCAGTTGGTCATACGAAACGTAGGACCTGACACTTGTGTAGTTTGATATAAGTCTTCACACCCTATTAACACAGTATGATAACATAAAGGCAAATCGTAGAGTAGTTGAGGTAATAACTATTAGTGGTAATAGTACAGGTGGAAAATTTGAATTAGTGGAGTTGAAACAATTTTCTAAATTAATTTAGGAACTGAGGAACTAAAGAAGGGAAATAGTGAATGCATATGCACCATTCTAGAGGGTTCTGGGGTATGTCCCCGGACTACTCTAACCACTGGTTTCGATAATCTTGTGGACCCCCAACCAAGTAGTTCGCATATACTTACACAACTCAGTTCAACCTTCTGTGCCTTCATGGAGTGATACTATACCTTGGTTTGGCTACCAAGTAGCTTCATAACTTTCTTCTACAGCAGCTATCATTATGCCTCAAGGTAGTCGGTTGATGGACATACGTAATATATGTCCCTTACCTGTCAGTCGATGGAAATTCACTACCTCATCAGTAAGTTTACCATCCATACCTAAAACTTTTAGTTTAACAACAGTTGTAATTTCTTTGTTGGTTTTGGTGATCATAATTATTTTGTTCTTTTATGAACATAGAGCTCTCATTTCATTTTTTGAAGAGTCATTTGGGAGATGTTTTTATTGTTATAATATGAGATAATTTATGACATGTGAAATGAGACTTTTTCTACTAATTGTTGAAGTGGAGGTTCTACAGTCACGGCAATTCATAAAGTGTAAGTACTTTTCTGTGTAAATAGAAATTTAGGTCTTTTTGCGATTGGGTGGTTTCATGTTTATTTAGAGTTTCCGTTGAAAGGCCTCACTGTAGCTGCTGCCTTAAAGTGTTGGTTCTGCTTACCTATCGTCATGACTCAACCTGGCTATATTGGCTGGAACACATGTTACTTTATAATCTGCTATACCAGTCAGGTCGGCTGGAGAATGGTAAGACTAAATGCATCAAAATATGGTTGGAGAGGGAAATCGTACTGCTGACTGTAGAGGAAAGTGATGACTGTAAGGTGTTTCCCTCGGGCAATCGGCATCTGTAGCGATTGACTTCTCACAAATGAAGAAAGGGTTTAGAAAAGGTTGACCCTAGGGATTTAACACCCCAACTTACCCCACGTATTTTCGTCTCCGGCCTTTGGAAGTGGAGAGCTAACACATCGAAAACTTTCCATCAAAAGGTCGAACGCGACCAGTCTCAAGCAGTCATCCCTTCGGTTCCTAGGTCACTTAGATTCGACTTCTTATTCATATCTTTTTAGGAATAAATATCCTTCTACGGTCTGGTCATCCGGGAAGCGACAACAGCCCTCATACCTCTCAACACTCATGATCATCTTGTTGACAAACAAATCCCTCCGCCATCTAACAATCCTTCCATCCACGCAATCAACTCTTTTCATATATCTTTGTCACCATACGCCACCAATTTTAATGCTTTGAGTTCACGAAATACTAATCCTGGTCGCCTGAAACCACTTTCCAACCTACATGTTGCAGTTATTCATGTTCTAACCTTGTGTCAGATTTATTTGTTTGAACACAAATATTGGTAAAAAGGGGCACCAGATACATATACGCCACACAATAATAATGAGAATGGGGAGAGATAAAGAATATAAGGTGCGTATATAGAAAATGTACAACAATGAACAGAAATTAGTTTTAGATGGTGGTTGGAGGTAGTCACCAGGAAACCCTGGACCCGGGTTTCGTGCTACTGGGCACTCGTCAGCAAGTTGTACCTGTAATCTTGAGGGAACTGGTGCTCCCTGGCGGATTCGATCTCGTGTCACCCAGCTTCACAGTCAGAGACGTTATCACTGAGCTATCCGAGCCGTGACCAACCTCCTGTAGGGACTGAGATGTAATCACAATTGATTGATCACTAATAACGACTAGTCTATCTCCAACCACCATCTAAATCTCAATAAACAGTGCCCGGAGTGTCGAGTCACTTAGACTGGTGGCCACATTGCAACATGATCGATAGCATTCGATCTGCGCTAATAAGGACTAAACAAGCATGACATTGATCACCACCCAGTGATCAATCAATTGTGAACAGAAATTAGTGTATGATAATGAAAGAACGATAATGGGAGAAGCAGTTCAATTAGCACAAGTACAGCCACAGAGAATTCTTCCACTTGAAGAAGTTACGGTCACTTTTTATGAAGAAAGTAAAAGAAGGTTACAGCAGGATCGCCACTGGCTTCTATTCTATCAATTCAGATCGCTACACCTCGACAAGTTACAAGGGGTGATCATTATTTTATTTGAACACATAAATATTAGTACCAGGGGGCTTCAAATATATATGCGCCACACAAAACAATGAGAATTCGAAGAGAAAAAAAAGGTAAGGAGCGTATAAGAAAAAAAAGAAAAATAACGACCACATATTAGTGTAAGGTAATTTAATAATAATGGGGGAACGGAAAGGTACAACCAGAAGAAATCTTTCAGTTAAGGAAGATACAACCACTTTTTATGAAGAAAGTAAAAGAAGGTTACAGCAGGATCGCCACTGGCTTCTATTCTGAGCCATATCTGATAACGTCTCTAGCCAATGTGTTGCACCATCTCTCGGACCTCTACCAGGAAGTCGTGAAGGACCAACAGAAGCCAGTCCTGTAGAGTTTTCTTTCATATCACGACACCATGTCATACACTGACCACCTCTCCGCTTTTTCCGACTAGTCTCAGCGTCCACAAATAATGCACGACGTGGAATTCTCTGGAACGACATCCGTAGAACATATCCAAACCACCGAAGTCGATGTTTCAAGATGGTGACACCAATTGAATTGTCGTCTTTGTGCCCGAACACACGATGCCAAACCTCTGCATTACTGACATGGTGTTGCCACTGGATGTCAGCAATCCTTCGGTGACAACGATGATCAAACAGAAAGTCGTCTAACATTCTCAACTCGGAGAGTCCTGGTTTCACAAGCATAGAGCAGAACTGCTTTCACTGACTGACATCACGAAGGCGCCAAATATGACCCAGATTGGCATAAGCCGCTCTGGCTTTCACTCATCTCACCACTCACGCCACCACCAGCACTTATGCAGCTACCTAGATACACGAACTTCTCGACTACTTCTATCTGCTCACTATCCAGGGTGAGTACAGGATTAGAATTCTGCCAGTCTTGAATAGGTGGAGTGAACTTTTTTTAAAGATAGGGACAACTATCGACTCATTCCATGACGTTGGTACACTCTCTAGTTCCCAGACCTTTGTAAACAACGTTGTCAGTTCCTTAGCCGGAAAGTCACCACCATCTTTAAAAAGAGCCGGAGTCATCTGGGCCCGGTGATTTGTGGCGCTTCAAGAGTCGGAGTTCCGCCTCATTTGGTGGACCAGTGGTCACCGACCATGGAGGGCAGGAAAGTCCGACCGATGTTGTCGGAGCAGCAGACCATTTGAACTGCCCTTCGAAGAATTCTGCTCATCGTCCAAGACGTCGATGGATGTCGGCGATTGGCATCCCGTCATCCTCACAGATTGTTTCGCTCACACCAGACTTCTTGCTGCTAGTGGCTCGAATGAGTTGGAAGAGCTTCCGGCAGTTACCAGATGCAGTTGCTGCTTCCAGTTCATTAGCACGCTCCGACCACCAGGCTTCTCGGTCCTTACGCAAGCTTTGCCCGATTTCATTACATAACAGTCGTCGTTTGTGGTCAAACGCACAGTCACTCGGAGTAGACCGATGGGCTTCGATTAGTTGTAAGGAGCCTGAAGAAACCCAGGATTATAAGCGGGACGTTTCGCGAAGCCACACGTGGCTTTACTCGCCATTTTCATAGCGTCATGCAATCGCAACCAATGCTCATCTATACTTTTCGGTGGAACAGTAGCTAACCTAGAAACTAGCTTGGTTCGATACTTACTTGCAACAGAAGTTGCAACCAATTTACTAGCATCAATCCTTTGGTGACGATCATTTCGTTGGCCACTGAGAAGTAAGGTAAGATTAGCGCAAACAAATGCATAATCAGAATCCGGATAGGTACTCCGAAATGAGTGGCAGTCTTGTACACAATCACGATGTCTAACTAAATCTCAAGAAGAGCAATCTTGAGAAAATTAGGCTGGTTTCAGATATGGACGTGGATGTGTAGAATGAATGTTTATCCTTCGGAACATTCTGGAATGCATATTTACTTTTTGACGTCCAATCACATTTAAACTCCTTGATATTAAGGTTACATTCGACCCCGTTGATGGTGAGGTTCTCCGACTGTGTCTGCCGTTAAACAACCTACCAACAAAGGGCATAAATCCTGTACTGGCTCTTTACTCGATCAATCCTTGTCGAGTCAAATCATATGGTAATTTGTCAACGAAATAGGTTACTTCAAATGTTCGTCAAGATTGTCCGTCTTATTTTATATTCAACTTTGTCAT